TAAAAAATGCACTTCGAACTGCGTCCAACTTTTGATGTAACAGACGCCTTGGGGCCAAATGCAGGAACATTTGCCTACATGGAAAGTCGGAGTAGTATGCCACACAACTAGTAAATGCTTAATTTTTGGCAGTTGAGGCATGGTGGTCAATCCGCGTAAAATGTATATTTACCGCGTTCCCTTCTATGTAAGTCGGTTAAAAAGGTTTGCTTTGAACATGAATTTAAGTACAATTAACAAAAGACATTAAAATCACTTAGATGAAATTTATTTTGTTTCAGATTCCCCCTTTAAGGTACTGCGGGGAAAAAGAAAACTATTCCTCTCGAGTTTTGAAATGATTGTGAAAACTCAATTTACAGGCTGATGCTTGCATAAAAGACGTGACATCAACTGAAACTTTGAGCAGGAATTAGGCTAGAAACTTGGCTTCCAAATAAAACAGTACGTTTTCAAAATCAAAATATTGTCTATAAAGTGCATTTAAAGGAACATGAACAGTAGTAAAGTCTGTCAGACTTCGTATTTCATAGGAAAAACATTTTTAAGACATTCTGACTTATCATCTAGGTCGCCGATCCTTCCGCCATCGACCTTGCTCTTATCAGGTCTGACCAAGAACTCCTACTCAGATCCGCAGTTACAGATTATGTAGAATATCAAGCCTTGAAATTGTTAAGGGGTCGAACTAGATCAGCCTCAACCCCCAGAGTAAGGAAGGAAGATGACGAAGAACCAGTCCGCTGTCCCCTAATCCAGAAAGCAATGAAAATGGTATGAGTTGATGGCAGAACAGTTCCTCATGTTTACACTGCCGTGCATCACTCCAGTCCCGCAATACCTCGCAAGCGGTGCGTGCTTCCGTCTTAGGCTGTCGTTCTTTTTACTGGATATCTGAGGAAACTGTACGAAATCGGAGTGGTCGACAGTGTTTGGCTGAATCCTCCACAGGACCATATTTTATCCATTTTTGTCCGGTAAAACACTCACAATCGAAGTCACAAAAGTTGCGGGGACACCGGCAAGTGTCAAATACACCGGAAAATCAGACTGCTGACATGCAGATACCATGGCCGTTGAAAGGAATAAGTGCCTTCAGCCGTAACGGTAGGAAACCTACTGAACGTTTGACATCTGTTTGCATCATGCCATTACAATCGCATTTTACTCAGTGTTCTTGAAGGATGAGTGTACTGAGAAGAACATCTGAATGGGTAGGTGGGTTTTGTTTGGGGCTAAATCAAATTTGTGAAAGGAACTGCAACCTATCCCCATGTTGAACAGTTGCAGCTGTCGAAGTGCATGTCCAAGCACGTTGACAGTGAATACTACAAAGCAGCACTTTCAGCTGTGTTCGGCAGGTTACACCAATCCCGGCAGGTTTGTGCACAGAAGACGCGACATGTTTGGTGGAGGATCGGTTGCTAGTAGGTACTTTTATGGGCGGGCCTACAGTAATTTTGACACTCATAAAAGACATGAAACGGTTTTTCATTAAATATAATCGCTATTTCCATCTGATATTCATAAAAAGATGTCTGATTCCGTAAGTTCATAGGGGAATGATGATGACATGACACCAAACACGAGATGATTTAGTTGCCCTGAAATCCACCAAAGGCGTCAATAGTCTACCACGAATTAGGGCAAAGGACAACATTTTGTTAAAATGATCACGCGATAGCGATTGCCTATTCTCGCTTATTTTTGCACACTGAAAATTGCTCTCATCGCGTTATATTTGAATGCTTTGCATCCCAAAATTAAAGTCTGCCCTTGCTGACGACAAATATATAGCAATCTTTTGTCAAACTCTTCTACAGGTTGTCTACAATATGTGAATTTTGCATGAGTGGCAGCTTAACTAATTATCCAAAATGCTGCTGGAAAAACTGGAAACATTCGAGGTCCTCATGAACGTTTCCTTGAGGACCTTTTAGGGATATGCAAGATGTCTTGTTTTTTTATTATTCTGCTTATTTTTGCTTTTTATGAAGCTTTTGGTCAGTCTGTGTGAGGTGTGTTTCTTACACTCCAGTCCAGCATCCACTGAAGAAACATTGCGAGTTTCGTTTTAAAGATAGGCAAGTTCTCCTTTGTGCAGTAATAGGCAAATTGATTATAAGCTTTAAAAGTTGTTAATCTTGTTTGATTCCGAATAGGAACTCGAATGCGAATAAAAAGGCTCGCAAATTTCTCTAACTCATTGTAGGTTAGTAAATGCCGCTCCCAGGCAGCTTTGAATGTCCAAATTGTAAGGGACAGGGCCCGACCCCTAACGTAAACAGTAGATCGTTCAATTTAAAAATGATCAGTGACCAACTGAGTCCGATTTACGCACCGAACATCTAAGCCTGCTTAACTGCTGAAGGCAAATAAGGGACTCTCCACTTTTCTCGTCATCAGTTAATTTTAACAAAAATTTCGGAGTTCAGACAGCAACCAGAAACCAATGCATAAAATATCTTAATATTTAGGATACCGCATCCACATTTCTTTCCATAAACGATTTAAATGGCCCATCATTGTTTAAGATAGAGTAGGTGGGCTAACTCAGGAAATCTGAACAGAAATTCCGAAATAAGTTTTCGTTTCGAAAAGATTAATTAAGTAGGATAGTAAAACCAACCATCCTGCAGCATAATTCTATAATGATCCAGTTACCCCAGGACGCCGGATTTCGAACAGACGTCTTTCCGGCTGCATCCAAAAACCTACTCGGTAAAAAGTGACTACTTAACTAACATGCATTTTTTCATCGATTTTCGATGTCCCTAAGAGTCCAATTATATTTCATAGAAAACATGCATAAAATATTCATTCTTTTGCTCATTCAGTAGAAAATTACGTCTTCTTTCAATTTTGTACTAGAAGGAAGGGTTAAATTCGGTTTTAAAAAGTTTCTAATTGTGCGATTTTTTAATAGCCATTCATAAAACGTCATGTCTCTGCATTTACCAAGGTGGGTTGTAAAGTTAACAATTTGGCTCAAATCCACTGCTTAATTTTATGAACCCCATACGCTCTCCTCTTAATACGGAAAAGAAATGTACGGTTTTCCGTACGCGGAAAGTTTACGGCTTGTAGTTTGGAAACCCTGAAAGCAAGTGTAACTGCAGGTCGGGTTCAAAATTATTCGGGGATCGGAAAAGTTTTATAAAAGCAAATAATACCCTTCCTTTGAATGTAAAGTTGAAAAAAGACGTAAGCTTCTACTGAATGAGCAAAAGAATGAATATTTTATGTATGTTTTCTATGAAATATAATTGGACTCTTAGGGACATCGATAATCGATGCAAAAGTGCATATTATTTAAGCAGTCATTTTTTACCGAGTAGGTTTTTGGATGCAGCCGGAAAGACGTTTGTTCGAAAACTGGCGTTCTGGGGTAACTGGATTATTATAGAATTATGCTGCAGGATTATTAGTCTTGCAACGCTACTTAATTAATCTTTTCGAAATGAAAACGCATTTCGGGATTTCTGTTGAGACTTTATGAGTTAGCCCACTTACTGTACTTTCTACACTACTAATATTCTTCTTATAAGGTTGAAGAGCACAAATATTTTTTATTTTCACATGCGCATGTTCATCATCCTCATCATCATCATGTTTTTGGTCACTAAGGCTGTAGTTAGTCTTTACCCTACCATTGCCAATGCATTTTATGAACTGTTAGCAGTCTTATATGTCATCTGATTTTCATCTTGAAAGGTGACCTTCCATCTACCCATATTTCCCTAATGATAAATAACGTCCGCACCAAGGGGATATAGCTTGACTTCAAAAGGTATCTCAGTCCATGTTCATAAAACCAGTACGTCGCATTAGGAGGGGTGTTTTAAAATTGCGAAATGGTCTTCCGGTTGTTCGCAATTGTGTGATTAAAAGAACAATAAGTGCGCAATTATGCCACACCAATACAACGTGAAATACAAGAAAAACCACACAGTCACTACTATAGGCAGTTAAAAACGCAAGCCCCCAGTTATCACCCGAAACAAGGTCAAAATTACCCAAAAGCCGCAAAGTGCAAAGAGTAAAATAACTGATATATACCAAATAGGATAATCTGTAACCACAAAATCCCGGAAAAAGGCGTAAGCGTTCAATTATGAATTCACAAGGAGACGGACAGGGCGGAGATGATTTGCGAAGAAGGAACTGCGATTGTCGAGACAGGAAATGTTATTTACCTGACGTTCTGGTTGTCACTCGAACTCATTGTCATCAGAAACAGCTGCGCATAATGGCTTGATAAATTTGGCACGTCGATACCGTCACTAGAAGCGGGGTGTTTGTCTGTGCGCTCCAAACGTGGTCAGTTGAGAGTGCCCAAGCAAATCATCAGCAATAAATGTAGATGGGGAGTACCTCGCGATTGTTAATGAATCCCAAGCTGGTGAACCATAACTCAAGCAACTCGCGACTTAGGTGGTCACCAGCTATTGCAAGAATTTGGACCTCATCGAGCTGGAATGTGTGGCCGGGTCCCGTCGGATGGGCCACCAACTGGAGGATGACGCCAGTCCCACTCACCGCCGCATGTTCTGCCAAATGCATCCGGAGTAATTTTCAAGTTCCTCTGACATAGCTGCTTTCTCCTCAATTGCACCAGGACCGTTAAAAGACTCCGGCTGTTTCCTGCCACGGCAGTGGGTCTTTGGATCTCCTTACTTGGTGCCTGATGGTTGCGTCTAATCTACGTACAACCAAAAATCAACGCGGCGTGAACGAGAGACGTATCTGACGTAAGGAATCGCACGTCAAATTTAGGGACTGGTGCGGTTTCGTATCCTAGCGGTTGCACTTGCACCTATAGAAGAACTTGCTCCAGTCATCGTTCAATCCCAGCACCCGTCAAAGGTATCGCAGTTCAGTAACCTTGTCCCCTGTCTCACCGAGATGCGTCTCAGCATGCCGATATAGCGCGGTTACGCAGTTGGATTTGTAGCTGACTGGGTAGTTGTCGTTCAAGCTCGGAATTTGCGCCATGTCTGTCACTTTTCCGAACCCATTAGGCCTGAGCCACCACAATATTGTGCACAGGCGTCAGAGATTGTGGAGGGACGCTTAAGAACGCTTCTGAAGTGCTCGGCCCGGCGCTTCAGAATTTGCGACTTCTCCGTCAAAAGCGTTGATCCATCGGAGTTGAGCAGCGGCACGGTTCCTTTCGTTGAGGTACGATAGATCGCCTTGGTCGCAGCGAAGAAATTATTTGATTCGTTGCGGTCGGCATATTCTTGGATCTCCTCGGCCTTGCAAGCCATCCAAACGTCCTGTAATTCTCGCAACGGTTGCTGCGCAAGACGACGACATTGGTAGAAGGTCACATTATTTGCATAGGATTGACGGTCGAGATAGGCTCTGTGCATCCTGTTCTTCTCGGCGAGTAGGTTACTGATGACTGCGTCGTTGTCGTCGAACCAGTCTTGGTGCTGCCGAAGTGCACGGCCGAGGGCAGTCAGGGCGGTCAAATGGACGCCGTCCCATGTTTGGTACCATCGGGTTTCCACAGAGGCGTTTTCATCTGGAGCTAGCAGTTTTTTCAGGTGCTGTGTCAGTTGATTGCTGAAACGTCAACGGAGAGCAGGTAAGTACACAAAAGCGGTAATCAACTTACCTGGGGTTTGCCTACCTTGTGGCCGCCTGCTGGGTTACATACGGAGCCTCATTTTGGAGATGACAAGGTGGTGGTTCGTCCGGCCATCGGCGCCGCAGATCGTCTTGATCATCAGCACTTTCTGCCGACCTCACCACCGAATTGGAACAACGTCGCGCAGCTGCTAGCGCCGCGATTGGGAATGCATCCAAGCGGCCTTCTCCCGCATCACCAGATGAATGAAGGCGTTAGTCATCAGAAGGCGGTGTTCAGCACAGATTTGCAGGAGGAGGAGGAGGAGGAGGAGGTCATTGTCGTTGCAGCCTGCGATTCTGTGAGGACCTAGCGCTCCTCTTCAGGCAGCGTAGCCTCTTCCAACGCGGACATTGAAGTCCTCAAGGACAACCAGCCTGTCCGGCTTTGACACAGACGCCAAAAGGGCGTGCAGCTTTTCGTAGAACTTGGTCTTCGTTTCGCCAGATCTGGTCATTATTAAGACGTAGGCGCTAGTGGTGGTAGCTAATTGTGATCCCCGAAGAGGCTGGCGCCGGCACATCAGGCGGTCGCTGGTGCCCTGCGGTAGACAAGGCAGTCGTCCGGCGATGTCGCTCCGGATGGTAAATGGAATGCACATGTCTCCTCGCTCTGCCCTGGGGTGACAGCTCCAGAAGAAGGTGTATCCGGCACCCACCCCATCCAGTTGGCCTTGTTCGAAGTACCGAGTCTTGCTGAGTGCAACAATGTCTACCTTGTAGCGCGTCAGTGCCCGAGCGACTAGCTTTTTCCTCCGTTCCGGTCGGTTATTCCTGGGTTTATCTAAAAGGGGGCGAACATTCCGAGCTGCCAGAGTGAGCGGACTGACTCTAGCAGCCTGGGGCGGAGGGGAGGAGGAAGAAAGAGACCATTGTTTCTATTTTGGTGGTTTCGACTGCATACTTATCAGTCGGTGATCCACGGTTTACACGCAGATGTCGTGAACTCAGCATGTGTTTCGGGCACCTTTTGCGGCTCCCTCCCCTGCGAGGGGGTAAGCAGTTCCGTCCCTAAATAGGGCTGTTTATCGCACCAGAGGGATACCGCTGTCTACTCTGGGCCACAGAGTTTGATGAAAGAACAACTCGACTGGCCTGTGCTGCCTACTTGATTGCATGTTGCCCTAGCCGTGGAACTTCCTGACCGTGGTTGAATAGGGTAGAGTGGAGAGAAGAGACGGTGGAGACAGAGTGGAACGGAGGACGATCTCCTCGGCCTTTCAACAACCTATTAGGGGCAGATCTACTTAAAAAGTGGAAAGGGTCGATACTGTGTGTTCCTTCACATCTATCGTCGTCCATCTCATTCCTCCATCCAATGGTCTTGTGAATGATGTCTCTGACTACTTACCTCCAGAGTAGCAAGGACACGAAAGTGCAAACTTCATGCTTTACTCTCAATTGTGAAGCATATTCGTCCTTTCAATTTTATTTGTGCTGCTCTTGAGAAATATGTTTTTATATTGTATTTCAAAAGTAAATCTGCTTTCGTTTTTCGCTATTTGTTTTGATTAAAAAAAACGCATTAACTGATAGGTAATGTACTTAAGGAAGTAGCCCCCGGTCGGGTTAACTATTCGGAAAAAAATCACGCCTCCGCTTTTCCACAATGTTGTTACCATTACTGCATGCTGCTAACTCACACAACAACCTCACACAAAGCTAACACTAGAACGCTTTAGAGCAGTCTGTAAAATACGAAGGACAGGATGCACTGAACCGGGAACTTTTCGGTCGGTCATACTCCAAGTTTCAAAAACTGCCACCTAGGAGGCTTCAGATACATGTTGGTACCGAATGCGCAAGAGTAAAGAATATTTTATGTGCTCTACCTCCACGTAGACGTTCCTTGAAGGCCTCGTTCGTCTCTTCGAGAACATTTGGGTCCTGGGACTCCAGAGAAACCCGTACCTTGTGGTAGCTTGAGGTGTGCACTAGTATGCATGTGTGTAACCAGAAATCAATATGCATAGCTGCGCACGCCTCAAGGCAAGTCAGTTCAATGTTGTGTGTTTCACGATTTCTCATTTCACGTATAGGATTCACGAGGTGGCTTACAGAATTGGCCAGTCGAATGATGTCCTGAGGGGGCCCGACCCGCAACTCGGTAGTTACACTCCAGGATGAGGCCACGTACAAGCAGAGTTTCGACTAACTCCTCCAGCAACTCGGTGACTCTGCCTTTTGCAACGATCAGCCCCTAAACACTGGCCCAACGTGTCCGACTACACGTAACCGCTGGATGACAGCGCCGCCCGCCACCTACCTCGCCAACCGTTCAAAGAAAAGTCTCACTTTCTGCGTCCCGCGTCCTCAGCGTTTCAGCAGAGCAGCCGATGTAGCACATGTCATTGTCAGCCAGTGAATTCTCGAACACCTGAGTATTCACTTCCAGACCTGCAGCATTGGTTGTTGATTGCATAATGCTGCCTTTGATTGTCGCATGGCCTGTTGCTATTGTTGTCTATGGTGATGCGCTCCTGAACGAATGCGAAAATGCAGACAAATAAACAAATGATTTCGATGCTTAACCGGTCCTCTTCTCCTTATTCTTGCAGGTAGTTGTGTTTGGATCACATAAGACATTGTCGATCAGGCACGCTTATTTCGTAGCTCAAACACTCATCCTAGCAGAGAGCCGAGAAGGTCATTTAATTTCAACTAAAAGGGACTGCACGGGAAAAAGTTGCAAATAGTTTTATCCCCTTGGACGCAAAAAATCTACTTCCCATGATGTTCGACATAAGCTCAACCAAATTGCAATACTCACATGAGTTTAAATTCTGAATGTCAACCAGTAGACTATGCTTCACTAATTAGAGGACTTGATTGTTAAACTACTCGCTCTACCACTAAGATCCGAATGCGACGGCATTGGGTAAAAACAAACCCAGGGATATCCATCAGAAAGAAGAGAATAAAATAGTCTTTCCTGAAATCCGTGTTCACATGGTTGTTACTTACTTTGTTGAGTGGATATCCGCATTTGTTCATAAAAATCATGATTGACGGTATGTTTGTCCTATTCCATTCATAGACGTTTCGCTTTCTACCCCCAAAATGATACCTTCAAAAGCATGCTCGATGTATTTTTTGGTGGCAGCGCACATCAGACAGCCATTAAAGAACTAAACTTGGTGAATATACGGCTACATAGACATATGTTTTATCTTGTATGACATCCACCTAAAATACGTTTTCGATTAGAATAGATTCATCAGAAGGGGTTTTAATATCGATCATGGTACACTTTAATCCCTAGATATTTCGGTTACGCCTGGATGTGGGCTTTCGAATAAAATTCTCTTCAGCCGCCTGCTAAAGCTCATTCGGTAAGAACGACACTATTAATAAACATCTTTTCCAGTGATTTCCGATGCCCTTATGAACAGGCAAACAGCTATTTTTTCTTACACTTATTGAGTAAAAAAGTACGTTTTTATATTTTATATATAAAAGAAGACATCATCAAGTTGTAGGAAGTTTCATAATTGCTCAACAGTCCTGATCCCAGTCCACATTTTCTCTTACGTTTAGGGTTTCCGAACTACACGTGCTGTATACTTTACGTGTATGGAGAAGCATATATTTCTCTAAGCCGATTTGGAGACGCTTTAATTTGCCCATAGAGTTTTGCAATTGATGTGGGCCGTGTTTTATGCATCGTAAAGAACATCGCAATGTGTCCTTTCATTGATTTGGCGCAATATATACTCACAAGGAAAGGTGCAATTCCTAGAGGACTCGAGGACATGGTTTTTATCTGGGGTTACTTACTCCGGGAAGTATTTGTGTTGAGCAAAGAAGCTGAACACCTGGAGAACTTTTTGATATGACAAATTTCGATCTTCCATATTGTCACCAATTAAAAAGGGACACTATTTTTACCAGTTAATGATAATAGTAAGTGAATTTAATGCCCTTTCGCAGGTATTGTCAAAAGGGTATTGCATTGTTATAACTTAACTCCGATGGCGACCTTAAAGCATCTTGGCCATCCTCGCGCGAGAGCTACTGCGAGGTCTTTTAATTTATTTCCACGGCATGTACAAATAAGTATCGTAAGTTATTTTTGTTTAACAAACTTGCTCCCTGGAGTAAGTAACCCCGGAAATGAACCATACCCTCGCATGAGTGGCGATCGTAAGTTTTCTCAAGCAACCTCGACATAGTGTAGCAATAATGCATGCTAAGGCAGTTTGAAAAGGTGTAGATCGAAAACCTATGAAAAGACAATGAGGTAGGGCATGGATATGTGCGTCCCTGGACCATCTTCCCAAAAGTCCTATTTTAATGCATTAAAACAAGCATACAGTAGAAATAAAATGTTTGCCTATTTTATGTAATCAGGGCACAATGCTTCTTCCCATAGATTATTATTGCAACCACACTTGTGTTACCTGAAACCTAGCGCCCTGTTTTAGTGTGTGGGAGAACTACCTCCCTACACAATGCCCTTTCATGCATTAAGACAGACATACAGTGCAAATACAAGTTTCCCTCTTTTACATATTTACGAATATCACGTTTTAACTCCTAAAAAGCCCCACTTATCACCACTTCCATATTATAAATGGGACTGCGTCATTGTTGAGCGTGTAGATATATCCGTGTCCAATCGGTAACCACTGTCAGAGCCGTTTAATTGCTAAAACACATTCGTATACTCATGACCTATGTGGACAGGCGTTAAACGAACTTATACGACTGAAACTCGCGTTTCAACCAAAATACTCCGAGTCGTTTTGAAGCGATGAACTATGAATATCAATTTGACTTTAATGAGCATATCTACGGAAATACTAGGGCGGCAGTAAAAAGTCGACCAGTACTGGGACCCATTTTGTTCCTTATCTACGTGGACGATGCCGCAAGAGATTTAGACTGTGAAGTAGCAATGTTTGCGGATGACATGAAGATATGGAGCGTAATTCGGGGTCCTGCCGATGAAGACAGACTGCAGATGAACCTGAATCGGTTGGAGGAGTGGTCAAACCGTTGGCTCCTGCGGTTCAACGTTGCCAAATGTAGCATACTTCGCCTAGGCAACACAGCCAGATCCGCCAGCACAAGAGGCTACTTTCTGGGCGGTGCAGCCCTACAAGAGGTCGAAGCCCAAAAGGACCTCGGTGTGCTTACGACGAGTTCCCTAAAACCACCCGCCCACTGTTCGAGGGTGGCAAAAACCGCAATGTCCGTACTGTACGCCATCAAGCGTGCGTTTATGGACTTTGACGAAGAAGCTTTCTCTAAGACATTCGGAACATTCGTCCGGCCACATTTAGAGTACGGCATACAAGCTTGGAGGCCGTGGGCTGTTGTGGATCAAAACTGCTTCGAAAGAGTCCAGAGGAGAGCCACGAAGATGGTTAGGGGTCAAAGCTCCTTTCCTTATGCGACCCGCCTAGTAAATCTGAACCTCTTTCCTTTGAGTTACAGGCAACTTCGCGGAGATCTCTTGCAAGCCTTTCGCATTGTAAAGGGGTTGGATTGCAGTCTGGCCTTCGAGGACTTTTTTGAATTTGCTACCACGACCAACCTCCGAGGTCACCCGTTAAAACTGCGCACTCAGCAGGCACGGCTGGATGTGCGGAAGTTCTCCTTCTCAGTTCGGGTGGTCAAACCGTGGAATGAGCTTCCCGCAGATGTTGTGATGTCACCATCTATACAAAGTTTTAAGAAGAATCTGGACATATTTATGTTCCGAAATGACCAAGAGCGATGAGAAGTCGAGCTCACCCCCTGTAACTCCTTCTCATTTTGTCCCACCATTATGGGCGTGTTGGAAATATTTCAGCCCAGAACATCTATTTGTACACCACACATTTTTTACGTTGCAAATAGGGTACTCAAAGGCTTACGCCTATTTCCCTCAATAAACTGAACTGAACTGAATTATTTTCAAAATTCACAAAGTAAAATTAGAGAGCCAATGGCTACAATATCGGGCCAGACAACGCCATAGGATATAACTACGATGGAAAAACTATAGAGAGTTTAATAATCCACTTATCAGAATGTGTAGTTCGGACTCCATACATGGATTTATTGTAGAATAGGAACAGGTCTATAGATAATCTGGGGTTTCTTTGTTAATTAGTCGGGGAGCGAGCTAACCAGGCGATAAGTCTATCACAAGAGCCTATTGAAAAGTCTGAATTTAAATTTTCTGAGTTTTGACGATAAAAAGCAAACACGACCTTTTCTGTAATCTCTCCAAAAGATCAGAGAAAAGTTTCCATAGTAAAGGAGTGGGCTCAAAAGTTGCCTGTTTCAAAGAAATGCTGGCTAAACACGGTTATGCACCCCAATACTTAGAAGCACGAAGACCATCTGTAGCAAAAACTGAAGGATTAGCCAATTCCTCTTCACTGCCCTTAAGGAAGAGCAGTGCTTCGTACCCAATCAAGTGGTGGTTGCTTTTTACCACTAACATGACTTACGGCACAACACAGCTCTTATTTCGCAGTCCTGGGAAGGCTTTCAAATGAAAGGGATAAAGGGCGCTTTGAAGGGGTCCGCCACCTCAACTTTCTCATGAGTTCAAAAGTACTTATGGATGAAATATATTAGACGAACGCAAAAGCATTTGGAAAGATTGGTCAGTTGAGTTCTTGCATAAACAACCTTGATAACCAGAGGGCAAAAGCGCCCATTCCACTATCGCGAAACACCTGCTAGATAGCGGACGTTCCGTTGGCCTAAAACCAGTCTTCTGATTTCTTTTTTGCACCCAAATGGCTCAGGCAGTGCACTATCTGGGAGCAGCCTCTGAGCGGAGAAAAAGCCTGACTTGTGAAAACAACTAGACCAAATGGGAGAGCTGGCCTTACCCTAACCATCTTTAGCCCTTTGACTCATGCATTCATTTTTTTGCTAGCACATTTTTCTAATCTTTCAAGGGCATTTTACCTGAATTTTTATCTACTAAATCGTGTGTTCTGAACAGCTAGCTTGTCTCTTTTAGACCG